CACCAAATCATCTAATAGCTTCAATAAAAACATACAAATTACACCTAATCAAAATTGAAATTCAATTAAGACAATAAGACATAGCAATAACATCAATAAAAATATAACAATTTCACCAATTCAAGTTAAAAACATAGCAATTTCGATTTCAACCCAAACAAATTGGTAAAATTTCAATTTTCAAACACTTACTTGCTTCATTCTTAGCCAGGGCTTGGAGTCAAATTGAATAAGTGGGAATCGATTTTTTCTTCTCGATCAACAAGACACTTAAGAAATTAGAAGGAATTAGCAATGGAAGCATCAAGCACCAAGAGAAGTCGTCGAGTCGTGAGTGAAGTCACTGATTGCAATAAACAGTGCGTTCGTCCCTCTGTCGATGGCTAAATGTTTTCCCCCCGTTTTTCACCTGTTGATTAATTGTATCGCATTAGGCCATTCTCCCAATTGTATCAAAAGATCCAATTATCTAAATGCCATTGGGATATATTAGTTTTTTTTGGGCTAAAATTAATAGGATTTTTGGACTACTAATTGATAATTCTAAGTTATAAATATATTTTTGGGCTTGGTTGATCCAATAGAGTGGCAATTTTTTTTACGGAGTTGACATTTTTTTTACGTAGTTTCCAATTGTTTTACGTAGTGGCACAATAGGTAAAAAAACAATTTGAAAAAATCTCCACTGCATACACGGGAACTAGGTGTTGCTGGTGCCACATCGGGTACCTAGTCAATATCGTTCCTGCATGCTCTCCAACCCCTAGCACCTTGATGATACTCAAAATCTCCACATTCACGCACATCTCTACTTGGAGGGTCCTTCATCACAATATTTCCACTGAGATCCTACAACCCTCCCGCATGATGTCCTATTTCTAGGCTCGCTAGTGGGCCTTTCAAGTAGGGATTTTTATGGTTCTTTTGAATGCAAAGAAGCCTTCTGGAAAGTTTGAGCAAATGATTTAATGGATTAATGACTTAATGGAAAGATGAAACTTCCAGCGCAACCACAACATGGATAAGGCTTGCCACAACAAGGTGAGAATTTCCATTGCATTTTTTTATCGCAACCTAAAACGTGACAATGATCTTACCACAATGTGGTGGTCTATTGAGTTGACTTTAACCGTTGACTTTTTGACTAGTTTGATTTTTGGTTAAACTTTGGTAGAATTGTGTAGTTAGCTAATGGACAGTCTTGGTTTAAATTTAGGTAGCTTGGCCGGTTAGCTATTCAGTTGCTGAGGATGTTGTTGAGCTTCCACTGTTTAGTTCAGGTGAGTTTTCTCACTATAGTTTGTACTGCAATATGTATCCTTTGTGTGTAGGATGTTGATATGTTGTAGTGATTTGTTAGATTTGTAGAATTGTTATGATTAGTTGTGTTTGCTAGTTATTGTTGTTTGTTTGCATATATCGATATATTATGGTTGAGTTGAAACGGTCCTCCTTTGTGTTGTAGGACAAGATAATCGGCTGGTCCAGGTGTATTGTAGGCCTTACGAGGCATTCTAGTCAGACTGCCCAAGGGATCAGTAATAAAGAGGAAGATCCCTATACATCTTTGTCGCTCCGGGATGAATGGATAACCTCGACTTGTGGGCCTCGTCCATTAGAACCTGGCGTATAACCCCCCAATATGACACGCAAACCCACCGATGCAAAGTCAGCAATCCGCGACTATCATAATCGAAGGAAGCCACCTGACCCACAATGTGCTCACTCTTCTGGTGCTCTTCCTTAATAGCCTCTGCTTGAGCCTCATGAATCCACTCCAACAATGGAGTAATCACATCATCCTCAAACATATATCTTTGATCGGAGCCGCGACCGCCTTGTAGCTGAGAGCATCGGCCACCACATTGGACTTCACCACAATGGAGTAATCACAATCATAATCCTTCACCATATCCAACCATCAACCCTGCCTCATGTTCAGATTCGACTGATCCATCAGATACCTCAATCTCTTGTGATTTGTGTAAATAGTACAACGAACCCCATAAAGTTAATGCCGTCAAATCTTGATGGGGAAAACCACGGCCCCCAACTCCAAATCATGCGTCAGATAATTCGCCTCACGATGCTTTAGCTGTCTTAAAGTGTAAGCAATCACACGACCCCGCCGTATCTATACTTCCCCCAGATCGGAGATCGAAGCATTAAAATAAACCACAAAGTCATCAACACCCTCAAGCAGGGTCAGAATCGGCGACTCACACAACCGCTATCTAAGATTCTCAAAAGCTTCCTATTGTTCAGGCCGCCAACGAAATGTCACCGACTTCTTGGTCAGTCGGGTCAATGGAACAACGATTCTGGAGAAATCTTGGATAAATATGCGATCATAACCAGCCATATCAAGAAAACTTCGATACTCAGATGGAGTCCTTGGAATCTCCCACTGCATCACGACCTCGACCTTGTTCGGATCGACCATAATACCCTTCTGGTTTACAAGGTGTCCCAGAAACTGCACCTCGCGCAACTAGAACTCGCACTCGAAGAACTTTGTGAAAAATCTCTCCCTCCTCAATGTATCCAGCACTTCCCTCAAGTGTTCATCATGCTGCTCCTGAGTCTTGAAATAAACCAAGATATCATCAATAAATACTATCACAGATCGATAGATATATCTATTATAATAAATATAAATATTTTTTGCCACATTTATATTCTCATTTATTTTGGCCACACATCATTTTATAGTTGTTTTAAATAATTTTTTTACATATGTTATTTTATGGCCTTTTTCCATTTTATTAAACGACACATAGTATTTAAATATAATAAATGTATAATAAATTATTTTAAAACTTTTAAATTAAAGCCAATTATATATTTTGTTTATTTGTTTAAATGTAAAAAATAATAAGAATTTCAATTTCAATAACTTAATATTTTTCTTTTTTTTTTCGTTATAAATTCAAATTTTCAAGATGTTAACTCTTATATTTAATTTTTATTTAATAAATCCGTATACTATACAAGTTTCGAAACACAATATGGTTAATATCTAATCTAAGCATAATATTCTTCTTAAATGGATTATTATTATTGTTTAAAGGGTAAATTACACGGATAATCCCTATGGTTTGAAGTAATTTATACATTTGGTTCCTAACAATTTTTTTAAACTCGTATAATCCCTGTGTTTTTGTTTTCTTACGTCATTGGTCCATGCATGACATAAAAAGCTATTCTACCCTTTTTTATATCATTTTTAAATTAAAAATTAATTAATTAATTAACCACCACACACACACACACGTAATACCCTCCTCATTCATAGGAACATTTTCCCCTTCCGCTTTCTTTGATCGTTAACTAGACTCGCCGTCGCACCTCATACCTTGCCGAAATATCGTCGGGATCCTATACCACGTCGAAAAACTCCTTACCACTCATGTGAAACCAAGTGCAGAAATACCCCCACTTCTTATTTTTTTGATGAAATACGATTCAATCTCTTTTCAGCGGAGATTTGCTTCAATCGGTTTCCAAAATTCTATAGTTTGATTAGGGAAAGATGATTGCCAAAGTCGGTGGTTTTAGAATTAGATGGTTTCCATAAGAGGATGCTCTAATTAGGTTTCCAGAAGAGCAGAACAGAAACAGAGCATCTTGTGTTTTGTTACCGATGCTTCAATAAGGATTCTAGAAGTTGATGCTTCAATGAAGTTTTAAAACTCGATGATTTCCAATGGATGAATCATCTCTCTTAATACTTATTACAGATGCGTCTAGATCTGAGTGGTTGAAATTGCCTCAGATGAAAACGTAACAATCGATGAAATGGTGGTGCTTCTAGAAACCTCTGTACTTTGGATCTTCTCTAAAACATCCGATTTAACAAAATGAAATTAGGTTGATGCTGAAGAGGTTGTTGGTTTTAATTCTGACTTTGGTCAAAAGTGGGTATTTGAGTCAAGTATTTTAGTTTGTTTTATTGAGATACTTAGTCATAGGAGTGTCCTATTTTATAGGAGTAGTGGCTAGGTTTTAGATTGAGTTTGTTTATTCAGGTGGGATGTTTTGTAGGCTATTTAAAGTCTTTTGTTCTCAAGGTTAATGTGAGCAACTTTTGTGTGAAAACAAAGTCTCCATTTTTTTTTCTTTTGGTGTACAGCAACAACAGGGAACAACTCTTAGTTTTCTTTTTTATTTGTTTAGAAGGTTGCAGGGGCTGTTCCAACAGAGGTAGGAAAGAGGAGGGAGGATACACAGTTCGAGGCAAAGATGGAGGTGGTTAGAGAAGATAATCGGAGGTCATTGGCGATGGTGGTTGGATATGGTTTTTTCAGAGATTGAACACAACTAGTTCAAAATGACAACGAAACTAAAAAAGTCATAAATTAAAACTTCAAAAAAATATATACCATTTTTACAAGGTTCATTTTTACAGTTTTCTCTAAAAACTAAATCAGAAAGGGTATAATTGTCTTTCTACCTTTAACATGGAACCAATGACCAAACAAAACCAAAACACAAAATTGTTAGAAACCAAACATACAAATTATCTTAAATTATTCTAAACCATGAGACCATCATTTACCCTGATGGAATAAAGCATTGTAATCCTGATTTCAACAAGTTATGGCCATAATGTCACGCATAAAAGCTGTGACAACTTCATCAAATAAGTTCATCCCGCATGAAAATTTATTGTCGGACGCACTTGAATCCAACATGCATGATAGCTAGGCTGAAAAACAGGACCTTACGTTGTATTAGCTAGGTGGCTACCTGACTCTAGTTAAGATTGCAGACTTCAAATTAAATCGAATGGATAGTTAATTAAAGAAGTTGACGTCTTACATGTAAACCAAACCAACCAAAAAAACAACCATCTCATCCATCATATATATATATATATATATATATATATATATATATATATATATATATATATATATATATATATATATATATATATCTCTACAGATGACTTCTATACTACAACAACAAAAGTCGATCAGTCTCTTTAGTGGACTACCATGTATACCTGGTTCATCATCATCGTTTCCGTCTGCTTTGCCGCCCTTATGTTCCGCTTTCGGCGGGGAGACGGCAAGAAGCTACCTCCAGGCCCCTCGTTATTCTCCTCCGGCAGCTACTTAGTGTTATTTACCAGTAATTTCGTCATGCAGGGGATCGTCCCCGTTCTCAGAGATCTAAAATCCAAATATGGACCAGTGGTGACTCTTTACTTCAGTTCTCGTCCTCTCATCTTCATCGGCAGCCAAGATCTCGCTCACGAAATCCTCATCAAGAATGGTTCAAGCGTAGCTGACCGCCCTGGCAGCTTGATAAAGCGTAACATCTCCACAACCCGGTATGGCCCAACTTGGAGGGCCCTTCGTGGCAATCTTGCGACGGAGATCCTACACCCCTCCCGTGTGAAGCGCTATTCCGGGGTCCGCAATTGGGCCCTTCAAATCCTGATTGGTCGCCTGCAGCAGCAGCAGGACGCAGCAGGAATCAAGGTGGTTGATCATTTCGAGCACGCCGTCTTCAGCATGTTGGCGGTGATGTGCTTTGGAAAGAAGCTTGACGAGCATCTTGTTAATGAAATTATTAGCAAGGTGCGTGAAGTGCTGTTTGCATTCCATCCCGGGAATTTGAGTGTTAACTTACTACTTACTTTTCCAAGATTGGGGAAGATATTATTGAGAAGTAAATGGAAGAAGTTGTTGCAAATTCAGGAAGATCAAGAACGATTGTTGCTTCCGCTTATTATTTCTCGAATTGAAGCTACTAAGTCTGAATCACGAGGATCATTGACTTTAACTTACGTTGACACGCTGGTGAATCTACAGCTTCCTGAGGAAGAGAAAAACAATCGAAATGGTGGAAAGTTGACCGAGGTGGAGATGGTTAGCATGTGTAGCGAGTTCCTTAACGGTGGCACAGACACCACCTATATTGCTCTACAATGGATCATGGCCAATCTTGTTAAGTATCCTCACATTCAGAGGAAGCTTTATGATGAAATAATCTCTGTGGTTGGACCTCCACCTCCAGCGCCACCACCAGGGGTGGAACTGGAATCATTTATAAGAGAAGAGGATCTACAGAATATGTCATACCTGAAAGCGGTAGTTTTGGAAGGGCTGAGGAGACATTCACCAGCGCCATTCCTGCTGCCCCATAGGGCCCAAGAGGAGGTACACCTGCAAGGATTTACTATTCCACGTCGTGCCACTGTTAATTTCACGGTGGCGGATATGGGTCTCGATCCAAAGGTTTGGGAAGATCCCATGGAGTTCAAGCCAGAGAGGTTCTTGCAGGTTAAAAATGGTGTGTTCGATATAACTGGACGCAAAGGGATCAAGATGATGCCATTTGGTGCTGGAAAAAGAATGTGTCCTGCTTATACTTTGGGTCTGCTTCACTTGGAATACTTTGTTGCCAACTTGATTTGGTATTTCCATTGGACTCCACCCGATGGTCATCATGATGTTGATCTCACAGAGAAGGCCGAGTTCACCATCGTCATGATGAACCCTCTGCAAGCAAAAATCTCTTCAAGGACAGATAAAATAACCACCTGATATATACATAAATAGAAATATAAATACAAATAAAGACCCCACATGAATCTCCGTCTATGGGTTACTCTCTAATTAATGGAAATCTATTCCATATAACTATATATCAACTAAAGTTACGGATGTGATTCTATATTTTCAATATTATTTAGACTTACTATTGTTGTGTGTATATATATATATATATATATATATATATATATATATATATATATATATATATCGCTGTGAGGTATGTAAGTCTCGGTATAGAACTATTCAAAACTAGTGTGTTATCAAATCACGTGAAATGAATTTATGGAGTCCTATATTATAATATTGATTCTTAATCTTCTTCTTGGTCAACAATTCTGTTTACACAGTTAAGTAATAATCTCACTTTAAGTCCCTAATTTCCATAACCCATGATAACAATAACATTCGAATATGTATAATATTAGTTAAACGCTAAGACTTTAAAGGCAAGCAAATTATACCTCATATAAGAAAGCTACTATGATGTCATAATATAGTTCTTATTCTTTCACACTAACAGTACTTATTTTTTCTCACTCTGTCGTCTGCACCAATGGTCACTAATGGCTTCCGTTTTACCTCGCCGAACAGGGCCGGTCCAGACGGTGGGCAACCCGGGCGATCGCCCAGGGCCCACGACTCTAGGGGGCCCAAAATTTCTCGGCTATGTAGTGTATATATATAAAACAATTATTACCAAAATGATTTTCAGGGCCTAAAGTTGGTTCAAACTCAAAATAGCTCAAAAGATGAATAATATGGCTTGCTTGTTATTGTTAATTGAACGTGTTTATAGTGAAAAATAAATAATATTTTTTTTGAATTTTTATTATATTTGTCTTTAAGGGGTCCTTTTTATCTTTTCGCATAAACTAGATAAAGGGTTAAAGAAACACTCACTCACAAGGGCTAGACAATTTATAGATGATAAATATCAAAAATGTTTTTTTTATATAGATAATTATTTAAAATAAACAATCTTAACTAAGTTGTAGTATATGTCACAAGGTTTCCGTACATATAAAGAACGCTGAAATCTAAGTTATAACGAAGAAGTTATGACATGTCAATGTTTTCCGAAAAAACCGAAACGACATTGAGAATCGTAAAAAGTGAGTTTACGATAAAGTACTTTTTAGCTTTATGTGTCTAAATGAAAGTTGTGGATTACGTCTCCACCTACACGTGGATATAAAGAACATAAAAAATGAAGCTCGTATGCAAAAGTTATGACCTTCCGAAGATGCAATTGTCTAAGAGCATAACACATGTCAGAAACCCTAATCTGACTGCGCTCACGACGTGAGCATGTTTTCTTACGACGTGAGGAGTCAAACGGAAACTAATAGAGCTTAGAAAACACCTAGGAAGTCTATGAGATGGCTCTTGGAATCTCACGACGTGAGCATATCATTCTCACAACGTAAGAAGTCATCCGGACACCTTTCGAAGCTATAAACGCAAATGGCGGGTCTACGAGGTGAGTGGGATAGAGCTCACGACATGAGCATGTGAGGCTCACGATGTGAGAGGGCCAAAATCAACCTATAAATAGCAATCGAGACCCATTCTTTCATTACACCTTCTATTTTCGTTCTCTCTAGTTTTCCGAAGGCCGTTTCCCTTCCCGAGTCCGAGAATCACGAACCGCTAACCGTTTCTAGTTAGATTCTATCCAATCACGCTATTAATGTGAGTGCATAGTTAATTTCATCTTACATATAGATATGAAGTATTTAATATAAATTATGTGCTATGTGTGCACATTATCTGGATACTTGCTATCTATGCCGGATGAAAATTTATATACATGTTTTAATTTATTGAAACTGTATATGTATTTTATATCTACAAATATGTTGGGTAAAATATGGGTAGATGAATTAGATGATGTGTGATGAAATAAAAATTGATGACAGGTATCGATGTTTAAGATGGTCTAGTCATCAAGCAGAGTATAGACAACGACCGCAAACTATTCTAGACAGTCCAGTAGAACGTTAGCAGGGTCGTAACATGTAGGTGTTTTTGAACTAAGTGTTCATTAGGTGTTTTGAAACTAAGTGTTCATTAGGTGTTTTTGAACTAAGTGTTCATTAAGTATTTTTGAACTATGTGTTCACCATGTAATTTTGAACTACGTGTTTACCAGATGTACTAAATATCCTGGCGGTTGCGCCTAAAGGATAATATTAGCAACTGTGCCTAATAGAATGTCATAATCCTGGTAATTGTGCCTAAATGATAATATTCACAGTTGTGCCTAATAGAGAATGTCATAATCCTGGCAGCTATGACTAAATGATAATATTGGCAGTTGTGACTAATAGATAACATTGGCAACTATTTCATAGGCAACGATGAACTTCGTGCCTATTCTTTAGGAGAATCCTTAGGAATGAAAAAGTGAATAATAGATGATTCTTAGTGTAGATCCTTAAGGAATAAAGAAGATAATGAGGATGGTAATTGGGTTGATTGTTTGATGATTAAACTTAATAATTATATTATTGTGAGTTGAAAACCATATATACTCACCAGGTTTCCCAACCTGACTCTCTCAGCTTATTTGTATCACAGGTGTCGATACGAAGCTACATTACACCGAAAGATTAAAAGAGATTCAGATCATTAGTGTAAATGGATGTATGATCTGTTTATTCTTATGTTTCTGTATTGACAATAATATCCCAAAGTTTTAATATAAACAAAATACATGTATTCGGAAATGCTTTAATAATATGTTTATCATGTTTTTCTGGGAAGAAATTACGCAACACTTTTCTTTGAAAGATTATTCTGATTTTATTATAAAAACATAAACGAAATCGGTTTTTCTGAATGTGAAATTCGGGATGTCACACACACACATCTCTCTCTCTCTCTCTCTAGGAGCTCTTTGGAGCTGTGTAATCATGTCATTGGTGGGTATCGGCAAACGAAGCACTACATCGTAACCCACATTGTCGGAAAGTAAGGTATTATCACTGGAGAGATGGTACAAACAAAACATATACAAAAACACCCCCATATATAAAAGTCTTCCATATTAAGCTCCCTTTTTCTCCATGGTTATAGTTCTAAATCTGAACCTCCAATATAGCACTTTATCTTCCCGTTCATCAAAACTCTTTTTCCATTTGCACTCCATTGTCACCCACATCGTCCTATACGCGGTGCAGCCTTACAAGTTACAACCCTAATGTTTCAATATATATATATATATATATATATATATATATATATATATATATATATATATATATATATATATATATATATATATATATATATATGTTCATGTTCATTTGAAACCATTCTAATTTTGTGAGACCGTGAGACTAAATCTAAAAATAATTTTAAAATGAAAAATAAATGGAAAAATCTCAAAATTCTTTTTTTTTTTTAAATATTATTTTCGGAAATTCAATTAAATAAAAAAAAAAAAAAAAAACTCACATTTTTTTGAAAAATACGTGAAATATTCTAATAGAATATTACACTGTACATATTCTAAAAAATAATTTTAAAATGAAAAATAAATGGTAAAATCTAAAAATTCTTTTTTTTAAATATTATTTTCGGAAATTGAATTAACTAAGATATATATATATATATATATATATATATATATATATATATATATATACTAGGCATGCTTAAGGCCCGTGCTAAGCACGGTCACGGGGGTTTATTTGGAAATGCTATTGTCTGAATCTTCGAGGAAATGCAAAAATGTTGCCATTATGGGTAAGCAATTGAAAGTACGCTGCTAAAACTGGTAAACAAACAAATATGTTGTTATCACCGGTAAGGAAATCAAAGAAATGAAGTGAAATAAAGTAAAATATATTGTGTATGGTGGTAAAATAATAAAGACTAATTGCATACATTCTTTTCCACCATATATTTACAAAATACATGTAATCCCAATTCCAATACCATTACATTCCATCAAAATCCACAAACCTGACTTTGTCTTCATTAATTGCACTAAAAAGGACTCTAAATCACAATACAAAATAAATTTGACCATTATCTCTTCCAGAATTGTGAATAAATCTCCACCTGCACTCACAATCGCAATACAAAATGAATTTGAAGTTTAGATGAATCATATATTACTGGTAATTTTGGTCCTTATCATATTGACGTAGGTCATTAATGGACTATGATTAGTTAATTGTGGCGTCTTCAACGTTGATTTCGGATCCCGTACAAACAACATGGTGATTGGTGATTGTAGGGCCAAATTTAAATATACCCCAAAATAAATTTAATATAAGTGTCAACTGCTTGCATTAATCATGTTTCTACGTATAAGCAGTTTTGCTTCATATATAGTTAAATATCCTGAATTTAATATTTGGCTTATATGGGTCTTTAAATTAAATGAATATGAACTCAACACTCTCTACTAACTTGATTTTTAGTTATTTGAACTAAAACAAATCAAGAAGAAATCAGGCAAAAGGGATCATGAAGGACTGAAGGGTTGGATTGGTTGCTCCCAATGGAAAGCTTAAGTTCTTCAATCTTGAGCAGAATAATTAAAGATTTGAACAATGCTATCTATTGCCTCCCCTCTCCGTAAAACCGTAATACTAAAAAATTCCAACAAAAAACCCATGTGTAAAACGATAAAAATAGACAAAATATATTTGTCCTAATTCCAACTGGAAAACCTATGTTCATTTTTAATCAATGCAGAAAGAATGACTTAACAGAGAAAGTTAGAAAACCAATTTAGGAGCATAACGCACATTGTCTGATGTTTAACAGTTCGATCACTTCCAGGTTTTTTTTTTTTTTTTTTTTTTTTTTTTTTTTTTTTTTACATCCTGATATGTGTCATGTTTTTCTCATACAATGTTTTTGGACATCTTTTATACACAAAACTTAATCAGCAAAAGAAAAGATAAATGGCCTATGTTAGGATACACAATCACACAGACAACAATAGTTGGTAGAGATAGAAAACTTATGAT